AGTTTGAGGCCAGCCTAGTTTACAGAGTGAGTTCCAGGACAGTCAGGGCTACACAGAGCTGAATTGGTGGTGGTGGTGGTGGTGGTGGTGGTGGTGGTGGTGGTGGTGGTGGTGACAGATTTTTAATATTGTCAAGACAATACTGAAGCAGGCAGTGATTCTCACTTTCTTGCCTTTCAGGAGAGCCTGTTTGTTTACTTACAGTGAAAGTACTTGCCCCCATGCCCTTCCTTCTGGGTGTGGCAAGTTTAAATCATTCTCTGAATGAGAAGGAAAAGGTAGAAGATGCCTATTACATCCACTAGGCTATGGTAAGCATTCACCGAGAGCCAAGTAGGGTTTCCTTTATTTTCCCCCATTTACTTTGTATTCTGTGAGAAATGACACTGAGGAAGGAAGATGACATATTCAAAACCCTAACTGCAATCACAAAAATGGGATTTGCATGCTTCATCCAGCCTGTCTTTCATCCAGCCATTTCCTGTTTGGAAACCTGTGTTGGCCAGCAGTGGCTGCCAGGGACTTTTTGTGTGTTCAGTATTGGGTGTGCCCAAGATGTGGGTCTAAAAGACCCAGACCAAACTTGATAGAAAAGTTTTAAGTGTAGATGGAAAGTCAGTGGATGAATTCTCAGAGAGAGAATTGTGTCCCTTAAGGGTAACGGGAGTCCTTACTTTGAAGAACTTACCTGGCCTTGCTTCCAGGGCCTTTTGAAAAGGTCATATTTGAATAGAGTTCAAGGGGACAGCTCACTGTTCGGAGGTAGTTAAGTTTTATAACACCACTTTCCCTCCAAAGACTGGCCACCTGAGGCAACAGTGGCTATTTCCAGCTGGCCTCTAATTGGATGAGGCAGCACAAACCACTAAGTCAGGCTTCAAGTGCTTCGAATCTATCTGACCCACAGGAGAATTTTGCTTTCTATTTTTAGACTCCTTATTTTTCCTTTTTACACTTGGGATTAAACCTAGAGCTTCATATATTAGGCAAGAACTCTACCACTGAGCTATTATCAGCTCCTTTTTTTTTTTTGAGTGAATTTCACTCAACACCCAGTGGTAAATAGATATGCATATAATTTAGAGATTATGTATGTTTGTAAAGCTCATGCCATTGTAGTTTTGAATACATGGTAGAAAGAGACGATTTACTTTTGGAAATCATGTAGTAAAGTACATAAATAAAACTCTTTTATATGGAAAATTGTTCCTCACCCTCCCATTGTGGCAACAGTTCAGAATAGAAATAATCATAAAAAAAGACAAGTATCTTAAGCAGCAAGATTTTAAATTGGTCTGCTGTTCTGGTGACTTCAAGAAGTATATCAATCAGGGAAACTCAACCATCTAGAAAACAATTGCAAGAGACAAGACTTCTGGTCCCTGCCCCAAGTCAAGTCCTTAGATGATTGTCAAGTGACAGATAACTCCAGTTGTCTCTAGTCTTCTGGGAAACATGTGTCGTTCTCAGAGGAAGTCAGAGACTTCAATTTTAGAGCCAGACAGAGAGAATGCTTTCTGAGAGGAAAACTTGATCTTTTATTTGAAATCAAGAGGGGAAGGAACTCTTTTTAGTCTCACTGTTCTGGTATCAGTCTGAAATGTCTTTTCTTGATTCATGATTATCAATCAGCTGATGGAACTATTCTGAGAGGTTTGAAAGAGTTTCAAAGGTGGAGTAAGTAGGTCACTTTGTATCTTATCTTAGGTGTACTTTATTGATAGTCATTCTCTTTTCCCCTCCCGTCCTCTCTTCTCCAGATAACCTACCTTCCTATCTTGGGTTTTAATAGATATAAATTGTTAGTATGGACCTTGAGTGTGTAAAATTCTTGTCTATCATGTATCACCTGGGTACCACAACCTGAATGGATAAAAAATGGATTGCAGAAACTCTAAAGGAGTTTAGAAAATTCCTCTCAACACATCTTTGTCTTACTGTGGTATTATTTTTCCACATCAAAAATGAAATGAGTCCTTTTCTGCAGTGGAACAATCCTTCTGTACACTGTGTCTCTATGATTGGTTTAATAAATAAGCTGAGTGCCCAATAGCAAGGCTTGTTGTTTTGTTATTAATATGGGAGCTGGAGATTGAATGCAGGCCCTTTATATATCAGCACGTTTCCAATTCAGATATTTTCCCCAGCCCCTTGCCATCTTTTAAAGTTGACTTTCACCTATTCTGAAAAATGTTGAAGTCGCTCTATGTTGTTTAATATCAAATTTTAGCCTATTTCTTTATATAAGGAAACATATTCATCTCATTAGAATGCAAATTGCATTGTAACCTTATAAACCATTAAATTATACACCTATGAAAGAATTGTGCTAAAACAAATTTAAGATTTATTATCAGAAAAAGTTTGATTTGTGCCTGTTTTATACACCGATACAACTGGATCAAATACAGTTTTCTCAGGCAAGGGAGTGGGGGCATGAGTGGAAAAAGTTTTAAGAAGCCCTGTTCTAGGGAACAGCCTAAAACCCTCAAATGATCACCATAATGGACAGTGTGTCTTATCAAAGAAATATATTGGCTAGTGAAACTAAATGGTTGAAAAACTTTGTGACTAGTTGGGAGATTTGTGATTGTGTTAAACTTCCTATTCTTTAAAACTAGTTCCATACTGGTTCAAATATCTTGTTACAACTATTGAAAAATAATACTATTAAACCAGCAAACTAAATATTTTGTTAAAACTCCTTTAGGGCTTACAGGAATAAACATAAAATGTTTTAAATTTCTCTAAGTCTTGTGTTTCAAATAAATTTTGAGGCTTACCAGACGATATGTCTCTTACCTGTGTGTTTCCCCTGTTGTTAACATTAGATTTACCACAATCAGAAAGTCAACATTGGTACATTACCAGGATTTCAAGCATTATAGTCATTACATTGTCACGAATTTTACCAGTAATGCCTTTTTTTTTTTCTGCTTTAGAATCTTATATTAAATTACTATGTTTCCTCTGGTCAGTTTCTCAGCACTTCCTGATTAATCATGATCCTGACAGCTTTGAGTAGTATTGGCCAAGTATCCTTTTGATTCAGCTTATCTGATGTTTTAACCTGAGTTCGGGGTTTTGGTGGATGGAGCCTTTCTTGTCACGGAATGTTAAAAACTACCTGGCCTAAATAGTATTTGGCTCATTTCTTCACTATCATCTTTTCTATTTCCCTTCCCGTATTCGTATTCTTAATAACCAGAGCGAGGGCCATAACAAGACACCCTCCTTCGTGCTGTCCCAGCCTTGGCAAAACTCCCTGTATTTACTAGTTATTTCCAGGACCGGGTGTGTTTCAGGCCCTCTATGAAGGGATGCGTGACAATGGGTGGCTTATTTCACAGACTTGGCAGCACTGGATGATAATTCACTTAGTTTTGTAGGGTTTTTCCTTTGGTAACCACCTGGTCAGAGTCACATCGGTGAGCCCCACAATGCTGGCCGAGACCCCTTTTTAAGCCTCCTGAGCTGCACCGGGTGCAGAATGGGAGGCAGAAGGCAGCCTCCCTCCGGCCAAGCTGGAGGCCAAGGGGAGGGCCTGCAGGGGTGGAAATGGGGGCTGCAGTGTGTGGGAGGCCGCTCCGCTTCCCTCCTTTCCGGTCTACGTGCGAGCTCGCAGACACGAAGCCCTGCCCCAGCGACTTCTGCTTTCCCAGGGGAATAAAGGGCTTGACTCCACCCAGTGGTACGTGCCTAGTTCAGCAGGCATCATGGCCGCTGCCAAAGAGTAGTAGCGAAGGCTTCTACCCTCCCGGCCCATCGCTTTCATGCGCA